AACCGAGAGCAATTCCACCTTTTTCTTTTACCTAGCAATTTCAATATTATTGTTGGCAACAATAGTCGAGCAAGAGAGAGAGAGAGAAAAGAGAAAAAGAGTAACAAAACGGAGAAAAATTTAAAAGCAAACGCGATCGATGGAATTGTCCCATACGTTCCGTTCACTTTGTCGCAATTCCAACGTCGACGGTGAATTTTCGTTTCGTGTGCGAAAGCAAAGCTACGTATTCGAAAGAAAGAAAACAGAAAAAAAATATATACGTGGAAGTCGATCGATCTTCGTTCCTCTCGTTCTCAAACGAGAATGAGCAACTCCACGGGTTCGATTGCTCGGCAGTTGCAGGACGCTTCCTTTTACGTCCGTTTTACACTCGTCGAACAACTTTGAAACTTCGACCAACCTATTCGAACTTATAACTCGAGGGTTGCTCGTCGATTCCGCGCGAAACTCCAAGAGAAATTCCAACGAGAAAACACGCGTGTACAAGAGACCGTGTTCACCACGGTTCGTAAAAACGAAGCTGGTAGCACCTGAATCTAGAAATTTCCAATCAGGTCTTTTCACACCCGCGATCCGCCCGAGTCCCCGTGTCACAGCGACTCCACGTTCTCCACGCACTCTCGAGCGTCCCTTTGCCTCTGAAACTCCACAGTCGAAAACCACGAACGATCAGAGCGCGAGCGGCGTTTCAGAGATTTCGATCCCTTGGAGAAAAGTCGCGGCTCGCTCGTCCAACTCGCAAGGTCATCGTTTCCTGCCGTGAGACCATCGGTTAGAAGGTTCGACGGTTCTCGGTGACGACGTCGACGGTGTCTGGGCCATCATCAGCACCAGTGGCTGCCCGAACGGTCTGGTTCCCGACATCGATCCGCCGCTGCCTCGTCCTGGTCAATGGAATTGCAACGATTCCGCGGTGATTTCGCTTTCGTTTTCACGCCTCTCCTCCACCCGAATCGCGGCTCTTTCTCTCTCTCGACGCAAGCGCTCTCCGTTTCAATTCACACTCTCGCCTTCCGGTGGTGATTTTTTTTTTTTTTTTTTTTT